TTTTTTTTTTTTTAACACTGATTAATATTTATAAAATACAGAAAAAAAGAAAATAGAAGCCAACCAAAATCCTATCTTCTGAGATAAATACTGCTGTTGTAATCTTGATGTACTTCCTGATACCTTTTTCTCTGTATCTAGCTGAGATCACATGCACTGATTTTAAAGCACAGTTAACTGGCTTCCTGGAAATTTGAAATTTATCCACGATTGAGCAGGAGTTTCCCAAGCACACTGAGGGACATTAGCCCGGGTGGGAGCCATCTTGGTCATCCTAAGGAAAAGGGAGTCCTCTGGACCTGAAACCAGGAACTTCCTGCAACGCTGACTGTCCAAGAGTGCAAATAAGTCTGTCATTCTTCAAGTCTTGATCAAGCTCCTCCTCCAGGCACCTTTCGATGAGTGAGGACCCAGGCCTTGTCCTTCAGGAGCTCAAGATGGTTGGAGAGATGAACACCACTACCACTGGCCCTCGTGCCCACCGTGTCAAGTACAGACAGTTGATACTATGGTAACCCCAGACGAGGGAGGGCCAAGATGAGCGTGAGCTGGGGCAGTTGGAAAAGCCTTCCTACCCCTTAATCTTCAAGATAAAGGAGACAAATGGGAAGGGCCTTCCTGGTGGGAACAAACAGAGTCAGCATGATATGGGGACAGAGAGATGACACAGCCGTGGGCTTGTAATATGGTACCTTGGATGACCTTGTCTTATCTTCATGAAAGCGGCAGTGGAAATATTAAATGATTTGTTCAAGATCACACAGAAAGTTTATGGCAGATCTCCTACCCCTCCCATTCCCCAAAGACCTCTCTTTCCTCCAGACCTCCTCATATAGGCTAAATTCTGAGAACACCAGAACCAATCAATGTATTTCAGGCTCGTTCCAGACTGAGGTTCTCCTACAGCTTGTGTTTGTTCTCTGCAGAGAGCAGTGATGAGGACCAGCACCCAGGAGTAACTGGACAGCGTCAGCAAAGCCAGGGGGCGGGACACCCCCCGGGACAGCTCACCTGGTAGGCAGTAGGCCTTGCCCTTTCTCTTTGGCCCGCCCAGCTCACCGTTGAGTTTCTCAGCGGGACCGAGCGTGCCTGCGTAAGGATGTTCCTCACGGCATTGTTTATAGTAGGGTGCGGGTAGCAAGCAGCTTAATGTCCAACACCACCAAAGTACACCCTGTCCTGCCTACAACTCTATTCTTCACATATCTCTGAAGTGAAAAAGAAATATGTCAAATCATAAGATTCGTTTGATCTCATACATACTCTAAAAATTCACACGTATGTGGTGATGAGTACGACCGGAAGGAAAAATAGCAAAATGTTAGTAGTGGTTATCTCTGGATGGTTAAATGATGGGTGATTTTTATTTTCACTCTTTTGACCTGGTCCTATACTATAACTATTATACAGTGAGCATGTTCTATTTTGACAACCAAGAGAAGAATTTTGGAAAAATAAAAATGTTAAGTAAATTGTGGCCTAAATGGATTGTGGCAAGAAAAGAGCATGGGAGAGGGGCGCCTGGGTGGCTCAGTCGTTAAGCGTCTGCCTTCCGCTCAGGTCATGATCCCAGGGTCCTGGGATCGAGCCCCGCATCGGGCTCCCTGCTCCACGGGAAGCCTGCTTCTCCCTCTCCCACTCCCCCTGCTTGTGTTCCCTCTCTCGTGTCTCTCTCCGTCAAATAAATAAAATCTTAAAAAAAAAAAAAAAAAAGAGCATGGGGGAAAGAGCCTGGATTAATGCCTAGAACGGAACCTGGCACACATGAGATGCTTAATAAATGCTGCCCTTGAAGCTGGACTTGAGTTCTGGGTTCTATTTCTGAAGATAAAAGTGATGAGGGGGCGCCTGGGTGGTGCAGTTGGTTAAGCATCCAATTCTTGCTCTCAGCTCATGTCATGATTTCATGGGTCGTGAGATGGAGCCCCACTTCCGGCTCCACGCTCAGCGGGGAGTCTGCTTTAAGATTCTCTCCCTCTGCCCCTCCCCCCACTTGTGCATGTGCTTGTGCACGTTCTCTCTCTCTCAAATAAATAAATAAATCTTTTTTAAAAAGGGGTTAGGATTGCAGGCTTGGGTGTCAGATCTGGGTTTGAACCCTGGAATTTCCACTTACTGGCTGTGCGATCTTCAGGGAATAATTTAACTTTGTGAACCTCAGTTTCCTTACCCATAAAATGGGGGAGGGAGAGGTACGAATACCTTCTTCATAGGATTTCTGTAAGGATCTAGTGAAATATTAAATATAAATTACTTAGTTCCACATTGATACCTAGTAAGTGCACAATAAATGGCAACTCTTATTACTGACTTTGAAGGAGGCCCAGGTCCACTCAGACCCTCAATTCTTTTTCAGGAAACTGACCACAGTCACCTCTGAGTGTGTGGGGGGAGTTAGAAAGGGTAAAGGGAAAGTACTTGTAAGGCTGCCTTGCCCCTTGAAGACTGCCCGGCTCACGCCCAGCACAAATAAGGACCGTGTTACTTTTTAAGGCTTCAGATGTGCAGGAGATGGAAGCTGCCCTGGGGTGCTGTGATGGGGAGAGCTGACTAAAGGGGGTTGTCTCCACTCAGGTGCTGAGCATGAGGAGCCTGACCTTTTGACGGATGAGCTTCAGCTCTATGGAGGTAAGTCATTGTCCAGTGGCTTTGACAAAAATGGAATTACACAAAGGACATGAGGGCTTTGGGCTTTGTTGGATAGAAACAAGTTCATGAGGGTGTTTCATGGCTGAAAAGTGCTAGGAAAATATAGGAGATATGGCAAGAAAAATGGTCAGAACATTGGTAAATGGGGATGGAGGCAAGCATTTTCTGCCTTGGTGAGACTGTCCCGGATTCTCTTCTGAACTATAGCCTTGACTTGCAGGGCAACTTAGCTCAGTCACCCAATCTTTCTGGGCCTGAGCTTCCCAGCCAGCAAAATGAAACATGATTTGCAACCCACTGTCTTGGAATAGTGGGCTGTTTACAGGTGCACAGGAAAATTAAGGATCTCATCTCGAAAAAACTCATGTTATGGAATAATTATCTCTGGGCATCGTGATTATTACGGCAAGGAGATATAAACATTATGGCACTTTGCTTGGAAGCACTTTGATGAAATGGGGACAATTTGTAAGAATGAACCAGTTTGCCAAAAAGCCTAACAAATGCATACTGCAGTCAAGAAAACCCACTTAACTTTGTTCAATACATGGGGTATCTGGCTGGCTCAGTTAGTAGAGTGTGTGACTCTTGATCTTGGGGTTGTGAGTTCAAGCCCCATGTTGGGTGTAGAGATTACTTGAAAAAGAATCTTAATTTTGTTTAATCCAACATTTCTATAATCTACGTAGTCTCCTAACACCTGATAATAACCCAGGAAACAACAAGAAACACATACACATTCTAAGAAATGTAAATGAAATATTTTATTTCTGCATCAAGATATTACCCATGACTGCCTCTGGGTGGTAGCACTGTGAGTAATAGTTACACTGTTTTATTTGCTTAACTGAATTTTCTGATTTTCTTTCTTCCCTTTTTTTACACAAAAACAAGTATTACTTGGTTTAGAAAAATGTTTATAATTACTCAAGTAGTGTAAGAATAGTTTCACAGGGTGTAAAATGAGAGAGAAACTGTTACATTTACATATATTTGAAAAGGTTTTTGGGGGCACCTGGGTGGCTCAGTCGATTAAGCCGACTGAGTTAAACTCTTGATTTCGGCTCCGGTCATGATCTCAGGGTCATGAGATCGAGCCCCACATCTGGCTCTGTGCTCAGCGTGGAGTCTGCTTGGGATTCTCTCTCTCCCTCTCCCTCTGCTCCTCCCCCCCTTAAATAAATAAATAAGTCTTTAAAAAAATGTTTTTGGGGTGCTTGGCTGGCTCAGTCAGTGGAGCATGCGACTCTTGATCTCAGGGTTGTGAGTTCAAGCCCCACATTGGGTGTAGAGATTACTTAAAAATAAAATGGTTTTATTTCTCATCATAAAAGAAATTCATATTTAGTGTAGAAAACATAGATACCACCACAAACTTGTGAATTACTCCCCCCCACCAAGACATTGGAAGTTCTTAGTAAATTACACTCTTGGAGTCTCATTTCATGCCGTTCTAGTAGGTATGTTTTCCGTACCCTCAGCACTGGCCACTCTTAGGTCACCTGCAGATGATGCTTCCCATTTGCATATTAGCCTTAAAGACAGTCCAGCATGTTGATTGTTGTGTGCCGAGTGCCCCCTTCTGGTGTCTGTGTCCTGGGGCTGACCCAAACATTGGAAAGTATACCGGCATGGTGACTACTGGTGGTGGAGGCAGGGGGCGCTACCGGGGGGTCCTGCCGGCCCTTGAGGGGAAGGATTTGACAGGCTAGGAGAGAGGTCACCAGGAACTAGAATAGGCACCAAGAATCAGGGTGAATGGGGTGGGTAGACCACCCTAGACCAGATTAACGAGGAGGCTGCGGCTTGGGATAAGTACATAGGGCTCACATCACCCTCAGCAGTGCAGACAAGGAGCTCAACACTCAGGGTGTGGGGCTGGGCTTCCCAGGATGCAGCCCGGCTCGGCTCCCACGAACTCGGCCTGGTGGGGCTGGGTCCACGTAGCTGAGGGTCACCATCTGCATCTTGCATGGTCAAGAACAGGCACAGGTCGCAAACTGGTGCCCACGTGTGTGCAGATGTGTTTTATCTGGCTCATAGAGCATTATTATTATTATTATTATTACATTTCATCAACTCATACTTTTTCACATTTAGACATCTCTGAAATCAGGATGCGTCTTAAAATCACTGGCAACTTACAATTAAAATTGGCAGTGGTTTTCCTTACATAGTAATGTATAAAATAATGTCATGTCTCACAAACGATGACATCTTTGATTCCGTGGAATCCAAGAGTTGCCAACCTTTTTTATAATCAAGAAGTTGATGTAAAAACCTGGATTTCTGGCTTTTCGTGGGAAATTGGATGACCTATAACACTAGACAGGCATTCCTACTGTGGCTGGTGGCTGGTGGCTGGTGGCTGCCCCTTAGATGGAATAGGCTTCCAGCTTGCTCCAGTCACCACTTGGCCCACTCAGATCACATGGAAAGTCTCTGAGTGAGATCCACATTCCCCACAGTGTAACTTCTCCCCACCCAGAGGATAAGGGATATGTGATCACTGATTTTCCTTCCATGTAGGTGCCCCTGGAGAGGTGGTGCCCTCTGGAGAATCAGGTGAGTGTCCTCTTAGGGGAGAGAGGTTGTCAGTACTGATGATGGACAGGTCTGGGCACTGTCTTTCCCCTGGGAGAACCAGCTACTGTTGGGGTTCATTGGGTGTGAGATGGGGACTCCAAATCCAGCTGGGGTCCTGGGACTCTGACCTGGGCTCAGAGGGTTAGAAAAGGGTTTCAAGCAAGAGGAAAAGGGATTGCAACCGGCAACTGATAGATGGAAATCTCCTTGGGGGGCTGGAGAATTTGACGCGGCTTTTTCAGAGGTCACCTACTTCCTCCACTAGGGTGCAGGCACCTGTTAAGGTCCAAGCTAGCCTGGCACTAATGTTGAGTTTCTAATCTCCAGGACTCCGAAGAAGAGGTTCTGACCCAGCAAGTGGTAAATACACAAACTCCGAGAAGAGAGAAGAGAAGAAGGAGGGGGCCTGCATTCTGGGGGATTAGGACAGGACCAGACAGCCTGAGAGGGTGGGTCAGTCACAGCAGGGATGCCATCACCAGCCAGAGTGTCACCATGATTCTGGAAAGGGACCTCCAAGCTCAGGAGAAAGGAAACAGAATGCAGACTCAGGCCTGTGTGGAGAGGAGGGGCGGGGGGAGTGGGGGCCCCAAGGACAGATAGCCCCACCTTCACAGCTTTGCTCTGACTGGTCCTGCGGTGAGTGCCTTCTGATCCAGGAAGAAGAACCCAAGAGAGTCAGTCTCAGTGAAGCAGGGAAGAGAAAACCCCACCAGCCATCCCTCTTCCAAGTTCAACACTCATCTCTCTCTTGTTCCTAAGGAGAAGTGGAGGCCTCTGAGTTAAGAAGACTGAATATAAAGAAAGATGGTAAGGAAATTGGTGCCCCCAAGCTGCTTCTGCCTGTCTGGTCCAGATTTCTATGGGCAGAAATTCTGCTGGTGGCCTAGAAAAACAACGATCATAGCCCACCTTGGTCGTGTGCCCTGTTTGCAGACTCCTCAGCTTAGAATCACCTCAAGAAGGTGGTACGATGACTCCCATTGTGCAGATATGGAAACTAAGGCTCAAGCATGGAGTGTGGGCTTTCAGCGAGCGAGTGGCACAACCTGGGCTTGAACCCTGGTCCTGTGCTGTTTCTGCTGTACACGGAGTCACAGGGATGATAAATGCCCCCTAGCCCTCTGGCCACAGTGGGGAGCTGGAAGGGGGGTGAGGAAGCCCTGAGGTTGGATTAGCTAGACTCTAGAGAAGGAGCCATATGAACTGGAAGGAACTCCTTCACTCTAAGCCGGGGGTCTGTGAGGGCTTCAGGGAGGAGGTCAAGGAAGGGACAGGAAACCAGGGTGTTTGATTAAACAAATGGCAGTTGTCCTAGAAACATCTGGGGTTTTCGCAAAGGCCCACCTTCAGGGAGTGGGAGACCTGGGTGTGAACCCCTGACTCTGTCCCTCTCCAGCTAAATGAACCAGGGTTTTTGAACTTTCCTGGGCTATGAAGTGTGCCTCATTTGAATAAAACTGAGATTCCCAAAGTGCAGGGCATGACATTATACCCCAGAGCAAGAAGGTGATTCCCCTTCCCGCTCTCCTTCCTAGAGCACGAGCTCAGTTTGGAGCCCCTGTGCCTTTAATGCCACCCTGACCCTTATTCATTGCCCTTCGGACACAGACAGCAGAGCCACCTCTAAGCTCAGCCCCTTGACTGAGTCAAGGGCCCTGTGTCATCTCCGCAGTGACTAGCCCAGTGCCCGGCAAAGTGCCGCAGGGCCTCACTCACAGAGCACGCCTGAGCACCGGCCCATGGCGCAGAACCCACTCTCAGCGCCTCTCCTTGGAGAACCCTCCAAGCCTACATTTGCACTTCTGGGCCTGGGGCCCACAGAAATACGTGCACAGAGATTCATGTGTATTTGGTGCAGCATCACTAACAGCAAAAAATCAGACACTTCTAGGTTCATCAGTGGGGGACCAGACAGATAAATTAGGTTAAGTTTATACCATGGAACACTATGCAGCCATCCAAAAGAACAGGGCGATTTACATATGTTCTGAGATGGAAAGACGGCCCTGGTCTATCTATGAGAGGAAGAAAGCAAATGATAGAGCTGTAGGTGTACAAATGGGCCCTGCTTTTTTTTTTTTAATTCAAATATAATTAACATACAGTGTTATATTAGTTTCAGGTGTACAATAGAGTGATTCGATAATTCTGTACATTTCTCAGTGCTCATCATGCTAAGTGTACTCTTAATCCCCTTCACCTGTTTCACCCCTCCCCTCCCCCACCTCCCCTCTGGTGACCATCAGTGTGTTCTATTTAAGAATCTGGTTTTTTTGTTTGTCTCCCTTTTTTCTTTGTTCGTATGTTTGTATGTTTGTTTCACTCACATATGAGTGAAGTCATATGTTGTTTATCTTTCTCTGACGGACTTGGTTCACATAGCTTTATACCCTCTAAGTCCATCCATGTTGTTGCAAATGGCAAGATCTCATTCTTTTTATGGCTGGGTAATATTCCATAATATACACATACCACATCTTTGTTATCCATTCATCCATTGATGGACACTTGGGTTGCTTCCATAATTTGGCTGTTATAAAGTTACAATAGACATAGGGGTGCATATATCTTTTCGAATTAGTGTTTTCTTTTTATTTGAGTAAACACCCAGTAGTGGAATTACTGGATTGTATGGTAATTCTATTTTTAATTTTTTGAGGAACCTCCATAATTGGCTTTCCACAGTGGCTACACCAATTTTCATTCCCAACAACAGTACATGAGGGTTCCTTTTTCTCTACACCCCTGCCAACAGTTGTTATTTCTTGTCTTTTTAATTTTAGCCATTCTGACAGGTGTGAGGTGATATCTCACTGTGGCTTTCATTTGCATTTCCCTGATGATGAGTGATGTTGTGCATCTTTTCATGTGTCTATTGGCCATCTGGATGTCTTCTTTGGAAAAATGTCTGTTCATGTCTTTTGTGCATTTTTAATATAATTTTTTTTTTAAGATTTTATTTATTTATTTGAGACAGAGAATGAGAGACAGAGAGCATGAGAGGGGGAGGGTCAGAGGGAGAAGCAGGTTCCCTGCGGAGCAGGGAGCCCGATGCGGGACTCGATCCCGGGACTCCAGGATCATGACCCGAGCTGAAGGCAGTTGCTTAACCAACTGAGCCACCCAGGCGCCCCATTTTGTGCATTTTTAATTGGATTATTATTATTATTATTATTGGTGTTAGGTTATATAAGTTTTTTATATACTTTGGATATTAACCCCTTATCAGATATATCATTTGCAAAATCTCCTCCCATTTACTAGGTTGCCCTTTTGTTTTGTTGATGGTTTCCTTCACTGTGCAGAAGCTTTTCATTTTGGTGTAGTCCCATTTGTTTAATTTTGCTTTTGTTTTCCTTGCCTCAGGAGACATATCTAGAAAGAAGTTGTTACAGCTGATGTCAAAGAAATTACTGTCTATGTTTTCTTCTAGGAATTTTGTGGTTTCCTGTCTCACATTTCGTTCTTTCATCCATTCTGAAGTTATTTTTGTGTATGGTGTAAGAAAGTGGTCCAGTTTCATTCTTTTGCATGTAGCTGTCCAGTTTTCCCAACACCTTTTGTTGAAGAGACTGTCTTTTTTCCATTGGATAGTCTTGCCTCCTTTGTTGACGATTAATTGACCATAAAAGCATGGCTTTATTTCTGGACTATCTATTCTGTTCTATTGATCTGTGTGTCTATTTTTGTGCCAGAACCATAATGTTTTGATTACTACAGCTTTGTAGTATATCTTTATATCTGGAATTGTGATACCTCCCTGCTTTTGGGTTTTTTTTAAATGTGCATATATATGCCTGGAAAGGTTTTGACAATCACCGCTTGCTTTTAAGGAGGGGGATTAGAGAGGGAAAATGGGGCATTGTGAAACTTTTAGACGTGACACATTTGCATTTTTTACTGCATTTAATATTCATTTGACAAACAAAAATATTGGGCAGCTCTGCAAGCCTGGCATTGCTTTAGCGTCTCAGCAAAATCCCTACCCTCCACCCTACTGAGAGGGACAGAGAATAAATCTGTTTCACATTTTTTTCTTTGTTTTTTGAGAATAAGTGTGGAAATAAAAATATAACAAGTTGAGGGGTGTCAGTGTTAGAAAAATAATAAAATGAGATAAAGCCTGGAAATGGGGTGTTTTTTTAGTTGGGTTGCTCAGGAGCAGCTTCTCTGAATAAAGTTACATTGGAGCAGAGACAGGACTACTTTTAGTAACCAAAAAAAAGAGAGAGAGAAAGAAGCAAATAGTAATTCCTCGCCTTTGCCTTTACAGATGAGTTTTTCCATTTTGTCCTGCTCTGCTTTGCCATTGGGACCTTGCTGGTGTGTTATCACTACTACGCAGGTGAGGGCCGTGGGAACAGGTTGGGGGATAGGAGGGGCCAGACTTGCAGGCTGACCATTCTCTCCCTCGCTGCCCTCGAAGACTGGTTCATGTCCCTTGGGGTCGGCCTACTCACCTTCGCCTCCCTGGAGACAGTCGGCATCTACTTTGGGCTGGGTAAGGTCCCCCCGCCCCCAGACTCTTTAGGGGTGGTGGCTGGACCGCCACAGACGCCCACTAAGGGCCAGAAAGCCACCACCTAAACATTTTTTAAAGATTTCCTTATGCTCGTGTTTTCTTCCTAACCACTGTCAAGGTCACGGTGAGGTCATTGGCAAAACCCCATGGAAAAAATGGGCAGTTCCACAAAACTGCAACAAAAACAGTTTAAAGTGGCAAACAAACAGAATTAGCCAGAGATCGAAAACAAGGCAGTTCACGGAGTGGGGTACTGAATTCACTGAATTTCCTGGCACTGTTATTGCTGCTCGAGGTCATTGTTTTTAATAATAATAACTCCAGTACTATTATCTAAGCCCAACCTGCTGCCTGAAATTCCACCACTAATCCCTGTTTGTGTGGGTTAGGCCTTTAATGGGGGGGGGCGGTAGGGGGGGTGACCCTGGGTCCCTTGCTGGGGCACAAAGCTCAAGCTCCTTTCTCTCTGTTTGTGAGCAGTGTACCGGATCCACAGCGTCCTGCACGGCTTCATCCCCCTCTTTCAGAAGCTTAGGCTGATGGGTAATGTTTCCATCCTTCCTATGTTCACCATCTTCCTCCCTATCAGGGTCTTTGGTTGCAAACAGGGCTTAGCCTATAGGAAACAGCAGGGCCTGGAGTCAGGGGCCCCTGCCAATTCACCAGCTTTGGGGCCCAGGATCATCCTTCAGCCTCCGTTTCCTCCACTGGACCCTGGGTGTAGGAATACCCACTGCACAAGGGTGTTATGCAAAACCACATGAGGAATGGATGCGAAAGTCCTTAAGTGTGGAACACTGTAGAAAAGGGAAGGGAATCTGGATGTTCCTCATTCTCTCATAGAACTTTACATTTACCCAAACACCAGTTTTGCCAGGATTTTATTTGCCTATTAGGTGTGCTTCGGTTATGGTGCACGTGACCGATGAAGGAATTGAGGCCCAGAGAGGTGGAGTGACTTGCCGAGGGTCACACAGCTAGTGTGGCTGGGCTGGGCTAAAGGAGATCCTCTTTCTTTCTGACCAGCAGCTCTGTGCCTCCCATGATGTCTCAAAACTGAGAGGCCAGGGGGCTGTGTGGCTCTGTGCTGGGGATATCTGTCTCCTATAGCCCATTTAATTCATAAAGGGGAAATTCGTTGCAGTGGCTGTGGGTCATGGAGACCCGTGGCTTCTAGGGTGACATTATCCCAGCTGCGAGGAGGATTTGGGCATCTGGGGGGATGGTGGAAATGAGGCCTGGCTGCCTTCAGGATCCCATGCCATCCTGCGGGGCTTTGCTTTCCAGGATTCAGGAAGACCGACTGAGGCCAGTGCTGGGCCGGCAGCCACGCTGGGCCTCAGTATGACCACCACTGCATCTCCTGGATGTGCCAGGGCAGAGCCCCGTTCTGGGAGACACGCGGGCGGGCCAGTCTAGAGAAATAAAGAGAGCACTTTTCCTTCCGTGTAGTCTGAACGTTGGCACCAGCCTGGACCCGGGTATCATTTGGGCAGTATTGGCATGCAGTCCAGCTGCCAGGATGGAAAGCAGAGGCAAGGTGCCAGGCCTATGCCCTTTGCGGGTCCTGGATCAGCAGGATTCTAGGATGTCACTGCTCTCAGGAGACAGTAGGAGACCCCTGGGCCCTGCAAGCTGTCATCTGTGTGGGCTCCTGATTCCTCTCAAATCCCCAGGCCATCCAGGTGGGGTGAGAGAGGGAAGAGAGCCCACTGCCCCGCGGCAGGGAGCCATCATGCCAGGCCCCCAGGGTGAACCTGATACAGGCGAGCTGCTGGGGACTAAAGCCACAGCATCAAGGCATCTTCTCTAGCCCCATTGCCTAGTGCCAGCCCCGCTGCCTTGGATTCCATCAAGATTCAAATAAACGTTTTCTTCCCTGGACTAAAAAGAGTCAGCTAAATGTTCCTTCAAGTTTCTTGAGCATGAGAACACATTTGGAGTCTCCTTTGACCCCATCTAGTCAGGGAGGACACCTTGTCTATTGGATAAAGTATAAAAGGGAATAAATGTACAGCCCCTCACTTAAGGTCCAAGACTCAAATTGCACAAGTTCAGAAAGAGGGTTTTGCATACTTTCCTATGAAAAGATCTGGGGCTGCTAGGTGCTCTAAGCCCAACAAATACCAAAGGAGTGAAATAGAAGCACACATACACAAAAATCCCTTGCAAAATTGGGTTGCATAAATGGAGGTACAGAGTCTAGATTGAAGGAGGTGATAGTACACCCTACTTTACACAGCTATTCCACACCAATGCACATACTCAGTTCTAGATTCACATCTCAAGAGCAATAGTGACAAACTAGAAAACATACAGAAGAGACCAGAGTGGGAATAGAAAGAATGATTGAAGAAACGAGAACTCTTCAATTTACAGAAGAGAAAAGTGGGGCCTTCCCTGAGCTCACAGACTCTTGGAGGATACTTTCTCAAGTGCTTATGATGGTCCAAGTACAGTCACATATGTTATCTGATTTAATTCTCACAGCAGCCTTGAGATGTGTCAGTCATCCTCATTTTGCAGATGGAGAAAGAGACTCAAAGAGCTTTAGTAACTTCTCAAGTTCCCACAGCAAAGCAAGTGGCACAGCCTCCATTTGAACCCAAGCTTAAGCTCTCCTTATGCCAAGCTGCCTTACAGAGCTTGGCCAGTCTAGGCCCCCACTCCAGGCAAAGCAGCCCCGAGGCAGCTATACTTTTTCCCAGACTTTGGGATTTCTGAGTTAGAGAGTATTTTTTTTTCTTTTTTTTTTTTAAGATTTTATTTATTTATTCATAAGAGACAGAGAGAGAGAGAGAGGCAGAGGGAGAAGCAGGCTCCCCGCTGAGCAGGGAGCCCGACGTGGGACTCGATCCCAGGACCCTGGGATCATGACCTGAGCCGAAGGCAGACGCTCAACCATCTGAGCCACCCAGGTGCCCAGAGAGTATTTTTTTAAGAAATGAGAGGAAGGGGGTGCCTGGCTGGCTCAGTTGGTGGAGCATGTGACTCTTGATCTTGATCTTGGGGTTGTAAGTTCAAGTCCTGTGTTAGGTGTAGAGATTACTTAAAAATAAGATTTTTAAAAATAAATAAATAAAATAGGGGCACCTGGGTGGCTCAGTCAGTTAAGTGGCCAACTCTTAATTTCGACCGCTTAGGGTCCTGAAATTGAGCCCTGCGTTCGGCTCCACGTTTGAGGGATGGTGCAGAGCCTGCTTGAGATTCTCTCTCTCCCTCTGCCCCTCCCCAACCCCCACTTGCATGTTTGCATGCACTCTCTCTCATAAATAAATAAGTAAATAAGTAAATAAATAATAAATAAAATTAAAAAGTTAGAAGGGCTGCCAACTCTTTCCCTTGCTAATTGGAGACAATAAAAATAACAAAAACCATCAACTATCAGCATCATTTTATAAAAGAAAGAATAGTTTTACACCAAAAAAGCAGGGAAATTATCAGCAGAAACAAAAGAGGGTTTTAAATGAACAAAGCTTGGGGCGCCTGGGTGGCTCAGTCGTTAAGCGTCTGCCTTCAGCTCAGGTCATGATCCCAGAGTCCTGGGATCGAGCCCCGCATCGAGCCCCGCATCGAGCCCCGCATCGAGCCCCGCATCGGGCCCCGCATCGGGCCCCGCATCGGGCCCCGCATCGGGCTCCCCGCTCAGCGGGAAGCCTGCTTCTCCCTCTCCCACTCCCCCTGCTTGTGTTCCTTCTCTTGCTGTGTCTCTCTCTGTCAAATAAGTAAATAAGATCTTTAAAAAAATAAATAAATGAAAAAAGCTTTATGAAAATTTTACTGCGTGTCCTTTTTCCTCAAATCCACCATAGTCTGGTGAAAAAAAAATCATCAATCAGAAACCACGGAACTGGAGAATTTCCAAGGACTTTTACATTCTCTTTTTCTACTCTCGCTCTAAGACACCTCTCTCAATGACGCTTACGGCATTATTTCAGAAGAATAGTGACGTCCAAGTAGGGAATGTTCTTGGTAGTCACGACTGTGCTGTCTCAACATTTAGCTCCGAACCCAGCCCTGACATGGATGCCCGTGGCACAGTTCTCTGCCTTTGCTCCTCTTCCTCAAGATTGTTTTGTTGTTCTGGGTCCCTTGCATTTCCACACTGAGTTTTAGGAGCAGCTCATCAACTTCACAAAGAAGCCAGTGGGAATTGTGATACGACTGCATTGCATCTGTAGATAAATTTGAAGAGTATGGTGCTTCTTTTTTTAGTGATTTATTACCTTTTTAACATTTACATTAGAAAAAAAATTTTTGCACCAAATCCTAGCACCCAAAATCAACCACAGTTAGGTATTTGGGTGTGTTTCCTGTGAGTCTTTAGTGCATGAGGTATTTATTTTTATTTTGGGCCCTTTTCTCTTGCACATAGAATAAGGATTTTTCCATTATATAATAAGGATATTTCCATAAGCATCATTTCCCACCCACTGTGCTTTTCATGCTTTGCATAATAATCCCTGCAGATCCAGGTAATAATATCAATGGATAACATCTGTTCAGCACTTCTTATGTGCTGGCTGTGGGGCTAAGCGCTTTGTGGACACCCTATCGTTCTTCTTCATTGAAAGCCTGTGAGGTAGCATCTGTCATGATCTCCATTTGATAGATGAGAAAACGAAGACACAGAAAGCTAGGTCAGGTATTTATCAAACAGGAATAGAACGTAAGTTTTCATGATAGAAAAGCGAACTTACGGACTCAAGGACAGTGTGGTTAGCCTCATTTTGTGAGAATGCGGGGTCCCTGTGGCTGGCTCTGCCACTGCCTGGCTGGGATTTTGGCCAAGTCCTTCTCTGTCTTGGCCTCAGTGTCCTCGTCTGTACAATGGGGATCACAGTGGCCCCCACCTCACAGTGTTGTGGCAAGGACTACATAAGATAATTGCATGAAGTCTTTATTTTTAAATGGCGGGGGGGAATTGGAGGGAGAGATGAACCAAGAGAGACTATGGACCTGAGAAACAAACAGGGTTTTAGAGGGGAGGGGGGAGGGGGGATTGGTTAGCCCGGCGAAGGGTATTAAAGAGGGCACGTACTGCATGGAGCACTGGGTGCTCCATGGTGGAAAACAGTGGATCGTGGATCACCACATCAAAAACCAATGATGAATTGTATGGTGACTAACATAACATAATAAAATTAAAAAAAAAAAGAAGACGTCTTTATTTTTAAAGAGTCATCCATACAGATTGTTATTCGATGTCTAGTTCTATGTCTCACTTACTAAAACCCTCTTATTGCCGAATTTGCTTTCAGGTTTGTATTCTCTTATTTGAAAGCAATCCTTTTTGTGTGTTTGTTTTTGTGTCTGCTTTTATTATTTGAGTATAGTTGATGTATAAAGTCTTATACACAGACTCTGGTACATAGTAGGCACTCAGTAAGAGCATCTTCTTGGAAGGTACTTGATCAGAGCAGGGGCGCACATCTGATCTCATAAGTCAGGCAGGCCAAGTCAGCCAAAGGTAGAAAAACGGGGAGTCGGGAGGGGGGACCAGGCAAGCTGACACCTGACTGAAGGGGTCAGCTGCTGTCCAGCATCGCCGCGGCTACCAGCCAGAGCCAGCCAGGAAAATGGAACCCCACCAGGGGTTTCAACAGAGAACTCTAACACAGGGGATATGTTAAACAGGCCCAGGAGGATTGAGAAGGCAAAAGGGGCCACTGAGGTATCACGGAGCCTACCTAGGGCTGGGGAACAAAGGAAAGAGGTTTGAGTTCCCAGCCCTGTGAGGAGGGGGACAGCTTGGGGGGGCTGGTGTCTCTCCTGGGGGCCCAGTGGGGCTGGTTCAAGACCAGTGATGTCAGACCTCAAATCTCTCAACAGAAGCCAGATTTTCTTTGATGTTGGCAACTAGTTTTTTTAAATTTCAAATTCTGCTGTGAAAAATGGTTCCTCAAAAAATTAAAAGTATTATTACCATATGATCCAGCAAGGCCACTCTGGGGCATATACCCCAAAGAATTGAAAGCAGGGATTCAAAGAGATATTTGCACACAGCCTTTTAGATTTTTAGACCACACATTGGACGGGAATCTGCTTGATGCCTGAGGTGTAACCAGACCCTGGGCTGGCACTGGCCTTGAGCTCTAGCTGGGCAGAAGAGCCATGAGAAGGTCCAAAGGCAGTGCTGGGGCTGGGGCCCCAGGGAGGTAGCACACTAGGGCAGATGGACGCTCCACTGAGCTCCAGAGGAGGGGGGTTTCTTTCAGGGTATGGGGGGCTCCTACAACTTGATCCACCTGAGTCCCTCCTTTGACAACTGGGGCTCAGAGAGGCCAAAGTTATTCGCAATTCTAAAAGGTAGAAGCAACCCAAGGGGCCACCAGTGGATGAAGGGATAAACAAAATGTGGTCTATCCATAAATGGAATATTATTCAGCCTTAAAAAGGAAGGAAATTCTGACACATGCTACCACATGGATGAACCTTAAGAACATTATGCTCAGTGAAATCTACCAGTCATAAAAGGACAAATATTGTATGATTCCACTTAGATGAGGTCTCTAGAGTTGTCAGATTTATAGAGACAGAAAGTAGAAAGGCCAATGCCAGGGGTTGGCTGGGGAGGGGAATGGGAAATTCCTGTTTGGTGGGTACACTTTTGGTTGGGGAAGATGAGAAAGTTCTGGGGATGGATGGTGGGGCTGGTTGCATGGCATGTAAAGGTATTCAGGGTCACTGAACTGTACACTTAAAAATGGTTAAGATGGTAAATTTTATGTTATGTGTATCTTACCACAATTTTTAAAAAAAAATTCAAATTATCTGTGGCCAAACAAAACTGGATCCAGCCTGCAGGCCATCTGCGTTGGGGGGCTCTCCATGGTGTGAAGCTGGAGGTGCACACAGAACGGGATAGAAAGCCAGAGCAAGAA